AAAATTTTTTTCGTCCCCCTTTATGGAAAGGGGACCGGTTTCTCCTTGAAACCAGCGCCCGTCTAGAGCATTTAAGACTACACATTTGCTTATTTATCTTTACTTTGCTGAAAAGTATCTGAACGTAACCCAAATTGCAGATTGTACTAGTAAATTACTGAACAACTAATGAAATAAGTAATATTTGCATAAATGCGCATTTTTAATTATAAATAAAAAATTTAAAACAGGAAACAAAAGAGTATGAGACAAAAAATAACTAATAATGCACTAAATTACTTGCATAAAACTATGAAATATTTTAAAACATTATGTTTAAAACTAAGAAAATTATATGTAAAAATAAAATAAATTAATATGCATACAATTATTTTACTATGAACTAGAAGCATGAGAAAAGCGACGGCTACGAGAAGCATAATAAAAACGCAACTGTGAGTGTTTTTCAGTGTGCTCTGTGTCTCTGTAAAAAATAATAAATGTTTTCCCTCTCTCAAAAGCTCCATAAATCCTCATCATTGAAGCCACTCAAATGAAAATATTGTGCAACTGTTAATAACCTGAAAGTTGTGCGAAGAGCATGATTTATGTGCGAAGAACATGATATTTTAAGCCTTTTTTTTTTTTTTTTTTTTTTTTTTTTTTTTTTTTTTTTTTTTTGTTACTATTCAAAAAATATGAAATTTATGAATTTTACTAAATAAAAAACATATTTTATTATAAAACAAATATTTTAATTATATATGTTTCTTCTTTAATATTATAATAGTAAAAGTAGAAAGCTAAAATAGAAGTAGTGTCTTGTCATAAATATCAAAAGTACTTAAGAATAAAAGCGTTTTTTTTTTTTTTTTTTTTTTTTTTTTTGGGACACAAAGTATCAAAATACAGAAAGTTTGAAGAAGGTTGCACAAAATTATTTAGAGCAAGCTTGGAAATCAAGAAACACTTGGCGCAGCCTTCGTGGCGCAATCGGCTAGCGCGTTCGGCTGTTAACCGAAAGGTTGGTGGTTCGAGCCCACCCGAGGGCGAAATGTATTTTATTCTCTCTCTGCTGGGAATGTTATTTTTTCCCCGTAAATTTAGAGCTAAAAGTGTTGATTTCATTGTTTCGCGTCATTCATATAGCTTGTTCCTCTTCATTCAAATGATGAAATTTTTTTCACCAAATTTAATTGTTTCGAATACCCCATACCCATATGATCACGAATACTGAAGACGTAAAAAGTAGATATTCCAGACATCAAGTTAAACTTCAAATTTTACAACTGCTTTCCTTTTAAACTATGGTTAAGTGCAAAATGTTGTCTCTTAGTTATATCAGATTTTCCTCGCGTTTATCGCCCCTCATGTTTTCGCCCTTTAAACTAATTTTATCGTCCGAAAATCGAGAGGGTAAAATTAAGACATTAATTTAATTTCTGAAGAATGCGGTTACAATAAGAACATAACAAATGAAAAAAGTCATGGCTAAACTACCGGTAGCTATCACAGTATTATTTCTTTAAAGGAAATCTACGTTCTAATAAGAATATATAACAAATATAAAAGAATAAATTAAATTACAACGTTACGTTACAAATCCCCTCTTTAGGCGTAATTTAATTTATTCTTTTATATTTGTTATATATTCTTATTAGAACGTAGATTTCCTTTAAAGAAATAATACTGTGATAGCGTTACGTTACAAATCCCCTCTTTAGCGTAATTTAATTTATTTCTTTTATATTTGTTTATATATTCTTATTAGAACGTAGATTCCTTTAAAGAAATAATACTGTGATAGCTACCGGTAGTTTAGCCATGACTTTTTTCATTTGTTATGTTCTTATTGTAACCGCATTCTTCAGAAATTAAATTAATGTCTTAATTTTACCCTCTCGATTTTCGGACGATAAAATTAGTTTAAAGGGCGAAAACATGAGGGGCGATAAACGCGAGGAAAATCTGATATAACTAAGAGACAACATTTTGCACTTAACCATAGTTTAAAAGGAAAGCAGTTGTAAAATTTGAAGTTTAACTTGATGTCTGGAATATCTACTTTTTACGTCTTCAGTATTCGTGATCATATGGGTATGGGGTATTCGAAACAATTAAATTTGGTGAAAAAAATTTCATCATTTGAATGAAGGGGAACAAGCTATATGAATGACGCGAAACAATGAAATCAACACTTTTAGCTCTAAATTTACGGGGAAAAAATAACATTCCCAGCAGAGAGAGAATAAAATACATTTCGCCCTCGGGTGGGCTCGAACCACCAACCTTTCGGTTAACAGCCGAACGCGCTAGCCGATTGCGCCACGAAGGCTGCGCCAAGTGTTTCTTGATTTCCAAGCTTGCTCTAAATAATTTTGTGCAACCTTCTTCAAACTTTCTGTATTTTGATACTTTGTGTCCAAAAAAAAAAAAAAAAAAAAAAAAAAAAAAAAAAAAAAAAAACGCTTTTATTCTTAAGTACTTTTGATATTTATGACAAGACACTACCTTCTATTTTAGCTTTCTACTTTTACTATTATAATATTAAAGAAGAAAAACATATATAATTAAAATATTTGTTTTATAATAAAATATGTTTTTTATTTTAGTAAAATTCATAAATTTCATATTTTTTGAATAGTAACAAAAAAAAAAGGCTTAAAATGTTCATGTTTGTTTACAATTCGGTTTAGTTTTCCTGTTTTAATGACCAATTTTATTTTCGTATTGATAGTTAAAACTGAGAGGGAAAATAACGGGTAACCGAAGATAGGGATGCTGTAAGATTTTTTTGGGCAAATAACCTTAGAGATAAGGATGGGAAACTTAACACGAAAGTACTTAGGAAAAATGTCTCGCGTTTTGTTTGGTGCTGCATCCAGTCCATTTTTGTTTGCCCCTACTATCGAACACCACATAGATAGATTTAAAGAAACAAATCAGAAAGCAGTTAAACAATTGAACGAATGTTTATACGCAGACGATTTAATAGGTGGAGATGAAGGTGAAAACGAAACTAAACTCATATATGAAGATATTAGATATATATTGAAAGCTGCTGGTTTCAACATGCGGAAATGGAAAACAAATTGTGCGAATCTGCAGGAAGTTTTTGACGAATACAAAAATGGTGAAATCCAGAGAGTTCTGGAACAGAAGGTAGTGGGATATAAATGGAATTACAAGGAAGATCCTTTGAAGATAGAATCGCAAAATCTAAGTAATCAATCTCAAGGGAGAACAAAGCTAATGACAAAAAGAGAAGTTCTTAAAGCCATTGGAAAGCTTTACGATCCATGTTGGATTTATAAGTCCATTCACTGTTAGGACAAAAATACTAATGAAGGAAATTTGGCAACTTGGGGTAGATTGGGATGATCCGTTGCCATTGGACTTTGAAAACAGAATGAAAAAATGGTCTAATGAACTGTCAGCGATTCAGAATGTAAACATTACGTGACATTACCCTCCGAAAGACTAACAAGTCTGAATTGAGAGATATTCAAATGCATTGCTTTACCGACGCAAGTCAGAAGGCATATGAAGCTGTAATATACCTGCGATACGTCACGAAGGACAGTGAAATAGGAAGTAGTTTTGTCATTTCAAACACCAGAGTACCTCCATTGAAGAAGCTGTCCCTTTCAAGACTAGAGCTGATGGGGGCACTCATCGGAGCAATATTAGCCTCAAATGTGAAAGACCAGGCTTCAAAAGAATGTATATTTTTGGTCAGATTCTTCCGTGACATTAACAAAGACATAAAGGGCATTAACAAAGATATAATAACATAAAAGGCGATTTAAATAAATGGAAGCCATTCATCCAACATCGAGTAATGGAAATATGAGAGAAAACATCGCCTGAGTCCTGGAATTATTGCCTTGTTGATGAAAATCCAGCCGATATGCTGAGCAGAGGAACGAAGATAAATTCCACGAAAGGAATAACGTTAGCTGAACTACGAAATAGTAACATGTGGTGGCATGGACCTAAGTGGCTATTACAGAGCATCTATTCGTGGCCTAAACTTGCAGAACCAGTAAGAGATTTCAAAGATAATGAAGAACTTGAACTTCGAAAGGGAGCTGTGGTGAACTCAACAGTCACAGGTGAAATTTCCGTTGAGAACGAATTCATTGAAAGGCATTTAGCAAATTGAATAGAACTACTGCATGGTGTTTACGGTTTATGAGCAACTGTAGAACCGATTCGACCATTAAGAACAGAAAGTGTTTTGAGTACTTCTGAATTACAGAATGCAACAAAGGGGCTAGTCAAATGTGTACAACATTCTGAATTTCAACTTGAAATTAAGTGCCTGCAGTCAAAACGATCAGTTCCAAGTAATAGTAAGGCTTTATCCTTAAATGTATTTCTTGACGAAGATGAACTTTTACGAGTTGGTGGGAGATTCTCTCCAGTCTTTCAGAAGACAAAAAACATCAACTTCTTTTACCCAAAAGACATCATTTCACTGAATTACTCATACATTATTATCACAAAAAATCTCTTCATTCGGGCGTTCAAACGACACTTTCTCTTATTAGACAAAAGATACTGGATACCTTCTGGACAAGATTGAGTTAGACGCGTTATAAATAAATGCATGACATGTTTTCTGATAAGAAACCAAACCATAAACCATATGATGAGAGACTTACCTAGAGATAGAGTTGTAATAACTAGACCAGTCATAAACGAAGGACTGGACTTTGCAACTCCAATTATCACCAAGCCTAACTTAAAAAGATCTAGGATTACTTTGAAATCATACATCGCGATATTTATTTGCTTTAAGTACAAAGTCTATTCATTTAGAAGTAGCATCGCATGTGTCTACTGAAGCATTTCTAGTACGTCTTAGAAGGTTTATTGCCAGAGATCCACCATCCATTGTTTGGAGTGATAACGCTACGAACTTCAAGGGAACGAAGAATGTTCTTGATAAACTCCTTAGAATTTGTAGATCGGATCCTATTCAGCGCTTTAGTTCCGAAGAAGGTATAACATGGAGATTTATTCCTCCTTCTTCCGCGCATTTTGGCGGATTATGGGAAACTAATATAAAATCAATGAAGAAAATTTTGACAAAGGTCGCAAAAACGACAATTTTAAACTTTGTAGAGTTGTATACATTAATTATACAAATAGAAGCTTGTTTGAACTCTCGACCTCTGTCACCTATTTCGGCTGATCCAACAGATCTTCAGTCTTTGACTCCAGGTCATTTCCTGATAGGAGCTTCACTTTTGTCGATACCAGAACCGAATGATTCTTTGTCCTTGTCTTCTAGATGGACCTTAATTCAAAAACTTAGAGCTAATTTTTGGAACCGTTGGAGCGTGGAATATCTTAATCATTTGCATAACCGTTCAAACTGGAATAGAAATCCAATCTCAAAGCAGGACAACTAGTCTTGCTAAATGATGAAAACAAGACACCCATGAAGTGGACACTAGCTCGCATTGAGGAGACCTTTCCTGGTCTAAATGGACTAGTACGAGTCGTAGACGTCAGAACTTCAGATGGAATCTTTCGTCGAGCAGTCTCCAATATCAGTCCACTCCCATTTCCAAATGATGTTGGACAATCGTTCAACAAGGGCCAGGATGTTCCGGCTTGACTAGAAACTTTCCTCTGCCATGTTCCGGTTTGATTAAGACTTTTCTCTGCCTCGGAATGGTAACAGTAAGAACTTGACTTTCGATTTGTTATGACGCAGCTCGAACGCTGCTCATAAGATGTAACATTAGATTTGATTCTTGATTCTAGATTAGATTAATTTAGTATTTAATAAATCCTTTTAAAAGCTAGATTGAGTATTTTGATTATAAAATCATAACTGAACCACCACTTGTAGAAATTTAGATGTGGCATTTAGATTCTAGTTAGATGCGTAGGCAGCGCCATTCGTTGATTTGTTTAGTGTACATTAGTGCGTAAATATAGTATTTTAAATTTCCGATAAGGAGCCCCTCAACTCCGTTGCAGATAGTGAGAGTCAGATGTAACAATAAGGAATGGGATGCCCTTATTATTACATCTTCGTATCTTCATTTAATGTTTTCTTTTTGAATGGAAAACTACAAAATGCCACCTTTGAATGATGCTAATTTTTAAGAGTGTTAGCTGGGTAAGCATGCTTTTTCTTGGGGTTGTGGTTCGTGATCTGATCTGACATTATAACGCTCTGAGGAAGTTTAATGTTGTAGTAAATGTGTTAATGTTGAGATCACTTTTTCGAATGTATTTTTCGATGATTTTGATTTCAAAATCATTATGTAAAGTTCTTTTCCTTATAAATCAAGGACAGCTGGCTGTTTCTGTAAGGGCTTTATGCTGAAGAATTAGAATTTTATGGAGATTGGTTTTTGCAGCATACCTCAACATGGAAAAGGCGTAAAGTAAGGCTGGATGGATTATGTTTTTTATATAATATAATTCTACAATGGCTAGAAAGACTGCTATATTTTACAAGAACAGGTCTTAAGTTAGCTATGGAAATATTAAATTTATTTGCGAGATTGACAAAATGAAGCTTAAAAATGAGTTCGCTGTCAAGTGTGATGCTTAGGTATGTGACTTCTTCTTTTTTGCGTATTTCTTCTTAAAGCCGGAGTAGATGGTAAGTTGAGTGAATGACCTTTACAAAATAGAATACTGAATATAATACTGAAGTTGACGATAAATACTTTTACTTTTGTTTACATTTGAAATTCTTAGTAACTTTGATTAATGAATAAAGTAAGTTGTTGCACCAACTTCAATGCCTTTTTGCACAGTGGGACCAAAGTTAACTATAAATTTCTGTTCATCGAATATTCTGTCTTTCTGCCCATTGGCCTAATTACGGGTTTTGACGTAAAAACTTACGTAGAATTTTGATTGCACAAATTGATTTTTTAACTGTTTTAACTGTATTTGGTGTCTTAGATTTTTCTATACTTTACAATTTTTAATGAATATGTTTTGACATTTTATGTATTCTTGCCTTGCCGCGAAGTGAGAAATGAATTGATTGAATGAGAAATATATGTCTAGTGGAATTCGAGGAAATAAATTAAATCAAATGCAGCAAAAATTGTGTATAATTTAACAGGTTGTACAAGGAAGTCATCTGGTAGCCAGGTCAGATTTTTTAAAGACTTTTGGCCTTGTCAGAATAGCTGTATCGGCAATGAAGATTGTTAACTGTGGAATCTGTATGTATGAATGTTGCATTACCGGATGGAGCACACCATTCACGAATCGTTGGGCTGTCCATACTGCCAGCAATACGGACTAATGGTGGAGTGCTATCGTAGGCGGTGGAGCTCCGAACCATTATGGAGCGTTGTCTCGCAGTGTGGTGTTCCACAGTTGTGACCGAATTGGATGCGTCAGTCTCAGCTATAGTTGATTCTGCAGATTCATTCTCGTATTCCCCGCTTCACCTGCGCGAGAATGCAACGCATTTCTCATCATTTGCATAACTCGGTACATTGTGTCTACCTAACAATTTGCCTATTCTTCGGAACATGCGTTAATGGATTGCATTTTCACAGTTCTTGTACCATTTTTCTTCTAGAGTAAAGTATGGATACGTACAATAATAATAAAAAGAATTTGATCATCATCGACACCGACTGTGGCACCGATGACGCAATGGCTATTATACTCGCCTTTAGCAGTCCTGAAACTGAAGTTCTAGCAATTACCTGCTGCAGTGGCAACACTACAGTGCATAATGCTGTTGAAAATGTAAAGAGAGTTCTGGCTGTGTGCAACAAAGAGAAAGTAAGTATTTTTTAATTTCCGCTTTCATGATTGATTGATAATTGTAATCTATGGAAACATAGATGTATTTAAAAGCATTAAAAAAGATTACTTTCTACCATATATGGCTGTGGTCGCGTAGGCTTTGGGTATCATCTTCTGAGCATAAAATGAGATAATATCTAAAACTGGACCTTCATTGAAGCTTTGGATGATTGCCTTTAATACAAACACTGAGGAAAAGTAACTGTAAGGTAACGGAGTAGCAAGTCTCATGAATACATAATTAAAACTTATGTATATTCCGTAATTCTTTTTCGAACAATAAACGTAAACGATGGGAAAAATATCAGTATAATTTATGGAATTTTAAATGTATTGTAAAGCAGGAACATACAAATATATGTCATTACAGGATTTCAATAAAAAAATTGTTGTTGAAAAGTTGAAAAAGTTGTCAGTATTGCCTGCAGTCATTCCAAAATACTTGGTTTACATACTGTTTATATTCCTTCCTTTTGTTTATGGAAATAATATGATTTATTATTGTACTCCTAATTTTAATATGTATACCATCTGCCTTATTTTAGCGCTAAGAAATTCCTCATCAATTTTTATGATCATCTTCTAGAATGTTTCTCGTGTGTTATGCCAGAATTCGTTTGAGAAAGTGATTGTCCTTGATTCCAGTTTTGATTTGACACTTTTCTCTACTCTTAAAAAAACGATAAGTGGCAACAGTATACAGTAGAATATGATTTCGACTTTGCTGCTTTGATATAGCTTGAATGCTGCTGACGAGATGTCAGGTTCTTTAGATTAGATTTATTGTGTTAGTGATATTCAAATAAATTTGTATTGTTGTGTTCTTTTTTTACGGGTTCGTGAATTTGGAGTGATTAAAGACAACACTTGATGAAGAATGAAAACACAATTTAGGACAGCTCCTAAATTGCGTCTACAGTCGTCGAAAAACTACTATAAACACGCTGAAACAATCAGCAACACAGCCTTCAGGCTATAACGGTGAAGACAGATTCACGGCAAAGCACCAGAGTACAGCTCCCGACACTGTCCGGTCGTTCTCGGAACTCAACGTACTCTCGAGACTCTCCACGCTACAGCTCGCGATGCACGCAACTATACACTCGATAGACTCGACGATACACTCGATAGATTCACAATACTCTCGACGACCAACTCGACACTAGAATGAAGATCATTTCGCTAGACGAGGCACTGACCGACTGACTAGACTAGACTCTCATACACTGACTATTAACTGACTTGCGATTCTGCGTACAAGCAAGGTTTATATAGATTTCGGCCTGCCTTCGAGAATATTTTCATGCAAACCGGTAAGAATTCGTTCTAGAAGGTTCTCCATTCGTCTGTGGCACGTCGCCAAATGGGCGATTTCTCGCCAAATATGGAAATTCTGCCTTCTTTTGCCATTTTCTGGCAACCCTAAACCCACTTTGCGGGGGAAGCTATCTTACCGCGGCTGGACATTTCGTATGAAAACTAGATAGCGTATTTTTGAAGCTCTTATTATATGCAGAATTTTAGATCCAATCAATCTTAAATAGAGTTATCGTAAAACTAGAAATATACAGCGCCATTATAAGCTCACTTGTCATCAATTCCTGCAAGAAGCTTTTTTACAATCATCATTATGTGCTCAATCTTTGAATTTATTAAAATTCGTGTTAATTGAAGTTATTGCGTTTCCTTCTTTTTCTGTTCATGATTTGTTCAAATGACTCAGGTTTTAAATAGTTATTTATCGTGTTTTCTGAAATACATTTGCAGGGCATATATTCAGCAAGTGCAGAAGGTTTTCTTTGTTCACTCATTTGCATTTGATAAAACACTGAAGGATACCATTCGTGAGTTCGTGATAGGATCGGCTTACAACTCTAAGAGATCCCTTCATCACAAGATTGAATAATATATGTGAGGTCTGCTGGAATGCATATAATTTCAGCTTAGGGAGCAAAAGGTGGTGAGCAGTAATTTGTCACCACCAGGATTTGGCGATTGTGTTCCCTAATCCCCAGTTGCCCTTAAAAAGGAGAAGTAGCCTTTCAAAGGTATTTTCTTCTTCCTTCCAGGTGTAACGATAGCACATTCGGGGCATATTCGAGTGGTCCAGATTCGAGTTCCGGTGAGGGCACTGCTTATTTTTCATGTCTCTTGCTTCAAAATAACTTAATGACTCTGCGAAATAAAAGGATAATTTCATTTAAAAGAAGCTGAAAGAAAGCAGTGTAAATTCGTAAATTATCTCCTTCAAGATTTATGAACCGTTTCACTTTTTGACGTAATTTATTTGAGTTGCGTTAGATGTTACAGAGTGACATAATAAATTTGGTAACATCTACTTGAGTTACAGCTCGAGCTTTTTAATATCTCTCAGGATTATATAATCTTTCTGGAACTGAGATAACACAATAATACTATTTCAAACGCCATGAGATTTGTTTTTATCTCATAAATTCTTTCTCTGTGTTAATAACAAGCGAAGATTAATCGCCTGTGTTGATTCTTGTTTCTTCGATACCTCTTCATTTTTCAGACGATTGAAAATGGGCATTTTCATTGTGTTTCCAGAAAGGTGCAAAACTAATCATGCAAATATAATTTACTTCTATTCATCCTTAGTGAACGTACTACTCACTACGTACACATGTACGTAATCCTCGCTACGTACACATGACAAGAACGAGCTTAGATAAAAAAAAAATTCAGGTATATTCGTGGCGAAGGAAGTCTTACTTTAGAAGACAGGTACCAAGTATACATGCTTCCATACAGAATGCTTGTGAATTAATAATAGAAGTATGCTTCACTTTAAATGCATTTGATAGACCTTTTTCCCCCTTCTTAATTTAAAAAAAAATTAATAATTTTTATTAGCCCAAAGGGACAATTTGCCCTGAAGGAATATTAATTTCGTTTTGGCATTCTGCGTTGAAAACTATAAACGGCGAATCACTGTTCAAATTGCTGCCCACCAAATATCGTCGCCCTGTATTATATTTAAGTAAATTAAATAATGAAGAATCTGTTTAAATACATGTATGTTTCCGGCATTGTGATAAAACAACGGTACCTAGAGCCATCAAAATTTGAGTAACGTAATCTTCCATACAATATGGCCATGTGGAAACCCTAATTTGAATTTGAAATTCGTTTAATTATCGATTTCATGTTTTGTAACACTTCAACGAATCTCTGATTTAAAAAAAACTAAAGGATTTCAAAGCGAGCAATGGCAATACTGTACTGAAAAAGGGAGAAAAAAACCTTTTTATCCCCAGCGCGAGGGATTGTGTATCGGAAATTCTAAAGATATGCTCAATTTAAAATTATTTTGCGACATTGCTGTTGAACTGAATTTTATGGTTTAAGTGCGAAGAACATATGATATTTAATAAATAAACGTAACACACAAAACGTTAAAAAAAAGTTCCTTTGGACTTAATTTGAAAATCTGAAACCTTTCAGACTTTTTTTTTTTTTTTTTGATTACATGCTTTTTTTTTCTTTCATTTTTAATAAAATTATATTTATCTATAACTGCAAATGAAACCTGATCGCTTCTCTCCAAAGCGCTATATTACAAACCTCCCTCTGGTACCTATGCTACATTTTCTACGTAATTTTTACTGATTTTTTATTAGTACCAGAGGTGCTATTAATCTTGAAACTCACTTTTTGTCAGTATCACTTTTCGAATGGTTGCTATTAAAAGTTATCTCTATGTGTTACTAAAAAAAAATAATAATGAAGAATCTGCATATAGTTATATTATATAAATATTGATATATTTGTACAGTCATTAGTTTTTTTTTTTTTTTTTTTTTTTTTTTTTTTTTTTTTTTAAGTCCAAAGGGCAATTTGTCCAGAGCTATTACTTTTGTTCTGACATTTTGCGTTGATTCTCTATGAATGGCAAATCACCTTTTAAATTGTTGCCACCAAATATTAAAGCTCTGTCTTATATTTAAAGAAATTAAATAATAAAGAATCTGCATAAATGTATGTATCTTTCTCGCATTGTGATAAAACAACGGTATCTAGAGCCATAAAATTTTGAATAACGTACTTTTCCATTCGAATATGGACATCTGGAAACCCAAATTTGGAATTTGTTTTATTATCTATTTCATATTTTGTAAAACTTTAACGAATTTTTGATTAACAAACTCAACGATTTCAAAGCGAGCAATGGCAACACTTCACGGGAAAAAAAAAAAAAAAAAAAAAATTATCTGCAGCGTGCGAGACTGTGTATCGGAAATTCTAAAGACATGCTCATTTCAAAATTATTTTGCGATATTGCTTTTGAATTGAATTTTATGGTTTAAGTGCGAAGAACATGATATTTAATAAATAAAGGTAACGCACAAAACGTTAAAAAAACACCCCTTTAGGAGTAATATAAAATCTGAAAGCTTTCAGATTTTGAAAGGAGAAGATCGTGAAAATTAAGCAATACCGTTGCTGATAACACCTGGACCTCTCGAGTGTGCTACCGATACAACACGAAGTCATGGAAAAAGGAGTGAGAAAACACCTTATATACTCCCCAATTAAAGAGTGACTGGGATTAGGGGACTCAATCGCCAAACCCTGGTGGTGAAGAATCACCATTCACCACCTTTTTTTTTAGTTCGGACGTTAATGTAGAGTCATTACGTTATTTTGGAGCAGGATACATGAAAAATGAGCAATGCCTCCGCCGAGACTCGAACCTGGGCATCTCGAATACACGCCGAGTGTGCTAGCGTTCCACGAAGGCATGCAGAGAGGAGGAAGAAAATACCTTATGTATTATTTATATAAATGTAAAATAAAAAGAACTAGTTTTTACCAATCACTTAGAATGCGAAAATTCATTTATATATTTTTTCTAATAAAATTTTACTCATAGAATACATTAAAATAATTAAAAGTACTTAATAAAACAAAAATACAAAATGAGAGATAAATAAGAACAGTCTGAATTTTAAAACTAGAATGATAATGGTTTAGAAACAAAAAGCTGTACGCATTTTAAGAAATTCTGACACAGGTTATGTTCCTCGCATATGAAAAAAAAAAAAAAAAAAAAAGAAAGAAGCCTAGAGCCACCAAATTTTGAATACAGTGCTCCTCGACCCGAACATGTGCTTCTTGAAACCTGAATTTTTAATTTCGAACTTGTTATTTTGTTTATTTCTTACTTTGACAAAATTTAATGAATTTTTGATTAACAGTCTCAACGATTTGTAAACTAGAAGTGATAACACCTTTCGAAATAAAATATTTTTATCTCCAGCGAGCCAGATTATTGCCACTGAACAAAATATATTTTTTTTCTTTTTCAGTTTTAATCAGCAAGCACGACTATTTAAAAACAATGTATTGCTACTCGGGAAATAAGATGCTTATTTTCCATGCTCCAGCCTGTTCCTATTCGGTAAAGCCTAATGTATTTAACTTTCAGATTTAAGATGGAAAGTTAATAATTAAAACAATCCAAGCAATTTAAAAGTAATGAATACAGTTTTTAAGGATATTTTTTCTACTCTTTAATATGATTGATTTAAATAAAAACGCATTAAAATGAGGCGCATAATCAAAAACATTAGATATTTTTATGAAATTACACTAGCTGGATTCATTAAAATCATTACGTTCTTTTTTTTCTTTTTTATGATAATTATTTTAGGCGGCTGGTCAACAAAAGCGAATTTTAAAGAAATAATAAAGCGAGTATGGCAGCTTCTGTCACTCTCTGGGAAAAACTAGATATGCTGTCTTCAAATAGTTTGTGATTTTGCTGTTAAATTTTATGTGGGATAAGTGCAAAGGAAACGATGCTTAGTAAAAAGAAAAAAAAAAAACCTGTTGCGTTAGCAGGAGTTAGTTCAAGAGCCAATGGTAATCTGCGATGCTCAGGCTCATAAAAAACTGTAATAAATCTTCTGATGCGACGTTAAAATGTTTTGAGACACTTTTTTCACTATTTTTGAAGGAATATTTTTACTCCTCGCTGTATGTTAAATTATCAAAGTAGATAGATGCGCGCAAACAAAAATGGGACAGTTCTATATCTCCCGATTGACGAAATTGAAATTGCGTTTTTCATGTCTCGAAAGCGGATATATATTAGATTTATATATAGATTAGATTTATACATAGATTAGATTTATATATATATTAGATTTATATATAGATTTATATATATATATTTATATATATTCCCAACTAATATAGGAATTTTGACACAAAATTGGACTTTTTCTGAAATAACATACAATTTTTTTCCATATTTGGATTCTACGATTCAAATTATACCTAAATATTAAATTTTGTAAAATTTGGTGCGAAGTTTACGGAGAAATTAAAAAATTTATCTGGCGGATTTTTTTTCAGTTTGCACCAAGAATAATTCACTTGGCGAACTTCTTAATTTATAGCAGCCTATTTTCCTTTCCTTTTTTGCATTGTACACGAGCGGAAAAATAAACATAGCTCATACTTTCAAATAATTTTATCAAAGTGCGTAAATCACATTTGGCGTTATTATCGCTTATGATGAATATTCCAAACTTCAAAACGCGCCAAAATATAAATTCACGTATATCTTAGTAAATTTTGAACTTTCCAGTTTTGAAGTTGCACTTTTGAGACATGAAAAACGCAATCTGAATTTCGTCAATCGGTCCAGCAGAACAGGAGATATAGAACTGTAATAATAATTACTATAAATCCTGATAACACTAATTATTGTATTATCTGTACTGATAAGAAAAACAGGAAATCTTTCCATCGTATTATAAATGTACTTAGGTTCCGAGATCAAACAGGTTTCACATACCAAGTGCCTAGGCTTAACTCTAGATACAGAATTGAGATTTTCACAACACATTAAACAAATCTCCAACAAAGCCTTAAAAAGACTAAATATTCTAAAATGATTATGTAGTGCAGCTTGGGGATCAAGACCAAAGACCCTTCTTAACACGCATATTTCGCTTGTTAGATGCATTCGTGAATATGCTGCACCCATATGGGCACCATCTTCATCTTCTCTAAAGAAAACGATCGACAGTGCCAATACAGGGTCTCCCAAATGATCATTGGAGAAGTTTCATCCACAAACAATATTAAATCAAAAACTGAGTGTGGCGTAACCTATTCAGAAAATAGAAGAAAACTAACCATTATCAAATTCACAAACAACATTCTAAGCTTCCCGGACCAGCACATGTCCATGCATGCACATTCAAAGCATGGAAGGGGAAAAATAAACTAAAAAGGTCCTCCGCCTTACACCTGAACCATGAGGTCAGGACAGTAATTGACTTAGAGTATGAAGCTGTGAATATAATTAAAGAACCTCTACTTTCCATCCGTCCCTTTCCGCAGACAATTAACAACTAAAATATCTTACAACCTTGCAAAAGAACAGCTGCATTGCTTAAAGAAAAAGGCACCCAAACCATAAATGAGCTTACAAACTCATAACCTACCTATTTGCCTACATAGATAGTTCCTCTGACTTCGACCTCAGTAAAGAAGGCGCTGGCATTATTTTATACACTGAACAGCAAACATGAATTCCATAAAATTTCTGTTGGAGAAATTGCCCCAAATTATACGCGACAACTGGTAGTTACCAAAGGTGCTTTGGATCTTTTTCATTCCAAGGCAGTTCAAAATTCCATTGGCCTCATAATTTTCTCTGCGCTCCAGGCGATCTAATAGCGGAACTATCAACTTGCCCAAGGCATTGTGGTGCTCATAGAAGCAATAATAACTGTCCTAAAAGCCTGCACCTTACAGTGGATTTCTGCTCACGTCTATATTTCTGGCAATGAGCAAACAGACTATCTCGCCAAAGAGGCGCGAAATGGTACTCAGTTTTCAAACAGTTTAACCCTTGTCGATGCTGGTACAACAGCCAGCCAAAGACTCATCTCCCAAGAAGTTAAGGAAGATTATATTCCCGAGCTACACTGCAACCGAATTATTTCATTTACCATAGCCAGACTGAGAAAAAAGGAACGAAAACATCGCCTGATGGTCAGCGAAGTTATAATTGTTGCCCTCACTATCCTGGTACATGAGTTTTTCAGTATACATCTTTGACTGTCCTGCCATACTGGCCAGGCCCTTCAGAATTGATTTTGTTCCCTCCCAGCTCCTATGTACTTCGAAGTTCATAGACATCGCTAGGGCTGTTTTAGATACTTTTGGCCCTATTTGACCTTTCTGCAGTAACGTTTGGACAAGGGAACAACTAGAATCTTTAATTTCAGCATTGGGAAAAAAGTGGAATCTACATTTGTTTCAAGTGAAATCGTTGTCGCAGCATTTGTTCTAGCAGTTACATAAGCGAAACTATTTTCCCCATCCCCAAATGTTTAAGTATAAAATTGTGTGTGTTTTTATGCTTAAATCTGCGTTTCTTTTCCTAAAAATATTTTAATAGATTAATTATTATTTATTTATTAAGATAATTTTCATTCTCACTTCACTTTGTCATTTATTTTTGCAGATTCCCATACATCGAGGATGTTCAAAATCTCTTTTAGGAAGAGAAAGGCTGGCTGGATGGCACGGATCAGATGGCTTAGGTGACTGCAAAGAGAAGTTTTCGACAGGGGGTATCAAAGAATCAGAAGATTCTGCAGCCATCGCTTTAATAGAGTTGACTAAAAAATATCCAAATGAGATCACTCTTGTTGCGTTAGCACCTCTGACAAATATAGCCGTGGTACATAGAATAGATAACGAATTTACAAGCCGTCTGAAATCAATTGTCTGCATGGGAGGCAATTATAAAGGTACGATTTAAAGTTACTATTAAATACATTGAGCCGTTATTCTTATACTTCTCTTCTTTCTTCAGCAATTTCAATAAATGTACTTTGCCATTTTCAGGCACAGGTAATGTTACAGAAACAGCAGAATTCAACTTCTACTGTGATCCAGAATCTGCCCACATAATTATGACAGAAGCTGATTGTCCAATATTCTTGGTACCATGGGAGACAACAATCGAACATGGTATTGAATGGGTATGTGCCAATTCATATTTGATAAGTTAAACCTTGTTTTGAATTTTTATTTCAATGACCAATTTTTGATCTAGCTGCAAGTAATCTGATTTCAATTATTTTTGGAAGGAGATATATATATATATTATCCCTTAGAGCATTTTTCATTACTCTTATTGGATCCTTTATTTTAATCACATTTATACCAAGTAAGCCTAAGTCTATTGATGAAATGAAATCTAGATTCATTATAAGGATAAAGTTGCAGTCATGAAATAACAGGGCAAACTAAAAGACCAAACGATAAAACAAAAATGTAAACGTGAAAACATTGAAGATGACCAAGGATAGTCGTTCTTCATCTTCAAAGAATGAGGAAAATGTATAGAAAATTTATACTTTGGTAAAAGCTGCTAGGCACGCAACAACTTAGCAACATTGAAGATGACCAAGGATAGTCGTTCTTCATCTTCAAAGAATGAGGAAAATGTATAGAAAATTTATACTTTGGTAAAAGCTGCTAGGCACTCAACAACTTAGCAACTTTCAGATATGCATGGAATAAGCAAAGAAAGTTGATAATTTTAATTGAAAACAAAGAACAGCAAAAGGTTGACAGAAAAGCTTGCTGTGAAGATTTGCTGGTCACCACGAAGCAGAACAACAATTTCTTAGGCTACTATCACACGTCGGTTTGTTTCGGAAGAACAACTGTTTGGAACAATTTTTCTGCTTTGTCACAACAACCAATCACCACAGATCGCTTTGGGGTTAACGCAGGGGAAACTGGTTCCCCATTACAAACAAGCTGATAGCTAATTGGTTGAAAACGAACAACCTGCAATTTTTTTGGAAAGGAGGGAAAAAGTCGCGCGTCTTTCTTTCAATAGTAAACCAGGCAGAAAAATTGTCCGAAACAGTTGTTCGTGTGAAACAAACGCCGTGTGATATGGGCCTTAAAGTGCATCATAGTGAGAGATGAGACCTGGTGTCTAAAGTACGACATAGAAACAAAGTACACAATGGATACAACTGTCTTTGTCCATATAATAAATAAGTAAATAAATAAAACAAAATAAAAAGACGCATGTCGAAATCAAAATCTACGATGATGTTCACTGTATTTTTTTTTCCATTTCTTTATGCACATTTTTATATAATTTTAACATTTTAAATGAAAGCGAGTTTGAAGATTAAGTAACTGTTGTAAATATTTCTAAATTATCCACTTCAAAGGCAAACTAACTATGAATAATGAGAAAACTAACTTAGGCAAAATGTTTTAATAATAATTTTCTGAAATAATATATCTAGAAGGAAATTAAAAGAACAAGAGTATTTAAAAAATTGCAGAATAAGAATTGTTAATAAATGCATGTACTCAGTCAATCTACGATGTAGATGTTTTAGAAATAATTATTTTTAGTAAGTTCCAACAAACCTGTCAAAAGAAAGATATTTTACGTAAATTAAACCAATTATTATGATTTAAACCTACACTACAACTTCTCTTTTTCCATAATCCTCACGGAATGCAAATTTAATGAAAGATTATCTAAATCAAAGCTTTTGAATTTTTAGACAAAGAGTTCCTGATGGAGGTTGCTTTCTATCACCCAGCTCTGTCCGTTAAGATTCCAGTCTTAGCCATTTTCCTAGCCGATGTTAAAGCGCGCCCTTTAAGTGTAGGCCAGGTACGCTTGCCCAATAACTCAGTTTCCTGACGGATAGGTTTGTCACATTCACCTTTAAATGGCAGATTATTAAATTTCATAAATATGGTCTTAAATATATATGCGTGTGCGAGGGGCGGATGAGATTATTCTGACCGACTCGGCAAATTCATCGTCACTTACAGCTTAAAAATGCTTATAATTAAAAAGTCATTTATTGATAATTAATAACTTAAAAATATTTATAATTAAAAAATACATTTATCGATAATTAATTAAATTTCCTAATTAAAAATAATAACAAAATAGGAAATTAATTCACATGATAAAAAATTAATTAAAATATAAAATAACATTAATTAACTTTTGATTACAATGATCAATGCGATCACAAAATGTTCCAGCTAGTTCATTAGAAGCAGTTACAAAAACCGAAACTTACTGCTTTAGTGCCCATTAAATATCAATATCAAATGTACAAGCTATTTTAATTAAAGGTGGCACATGCGATACCTATGATTTTCCAATGACACAAAATAGAATATTTAGATTTTTAATTTAAATTTTAAAAAAGTTATATATTGATACATATGCGTATCTCAATCACATGTTGCATTTTAAAAATATATTATGCAATAAAGCTATGAATACATGTTGCGTTTTAAAAATATATTATGCAATAAAGATATGAATACAACATATAATAAAAGAATAAACACGTACACGTATTTATGAAATATATTAAATTTTTCTGCTGCCAAAATTATTCAAAAAACATCTTCCATTGGAGAACTGGATTTTCTAGAGGCATTTCACATTCATAAAAATCTTTTTGTTCTAGTTAACGATCCTAATTCCAATCCAAATTTGCCTTCGGCCTTTAAAGAAATTATGTTTTAGTTCTGATTTCACCAACAGATGGCGCCACTTGCTTATTCTTGTCCAGGCTTTCTTATCTTATCTAATCATTATTTCCTATCTGGTTCATTTGCGGTTTTGCAGCTGAAGATGGTGGTTCGGTAAAACCATCGAAACTAGTCCTGTGAAAATTTTGTAAATATAACGCTGATTTTTGTTGTTTGACTTCTGAATTAGTATTTATTCGGCGTGTTATTGTGTCTTAATATTAAATTTATTTAATTATTTTTAAATATCAATGTAAAAATGTACAGAAAGAATGTTGGAAAATTTACCTATATCGGCATTTTCTATTTGGCTTAGTAAATCAGTTTCACTGCTTCTAAATTTGACTGTGCAAGGGTTTTCACATATTTTAATATTGAAAATGGTCTTTCATAAGCTACTTAAGATATTGTGGTAAATGAGCAAATATATATCAGCCAAAGAATGTGTTGGATAGGCTTTTTGGTACATATTATGCTTATATATGACTCTATAGAAACATCGTCAACAATTTTTGCAGCTTTTACATTTAGTTGCTTGATTTTCTTCCTCTACAGTTTTTTTCAAATTCTTCAGTTGAGCCGTCGACGTTTTTCGATACATCTATCTTGTAAAACTCACGCATATTTAGTTTGGAATCCCCACTGAAAATAAAACTATCTAACTCATAGGACAGAGGATATCATTCGCGGAAGAGGTCGTTTCCCAACTGGCTTGGAATGCATTGAATGTCGAAAACGTATCACCCGTTGTCTCAATGATGGAGCTCTCAGGACTTGGAAGAGACCCTGAACCTCCTCTTGAACCCTCAACAACTATAGATTTGTTGAGTGGTATTGCTCACACTATTGCATTATAAGCCATTAAAAAATCACGAAACCCCGGTGGAGATATCTGATACAGAGGCACAAACAAAACAAAATATTTTAATGTTATCCAAAAGCGTTCAAGTCCTTTAAAATGCAGAGGGGAATGTTACTGCGGGGCAACGGGGTTCTGAGCAAACCTACAAGCCCCAAAAACTTACGTCTGTCTAATAGTATCGGACGGACATGTTAATTAATCTTACACAATTAAAACCTTGCTATATAAGGGACAGTATTTATTACTATGGCATCTCATCTTGCTTTTCATCAAATACCATCTGGATTCGAAAGCTGAATACCAGTGAAGTTTTGCTGCAAAGACTTAAGTGCAACTGTCACTTCAAATCAGACTCCTGGGCGAAAGCCACATCCTGAGTATAGCAAAGTAGAGCTCGCATAACTCTTTTATAGCATAACGTGGAACATCAATGGAGACATTTGACATGTTGTATAAAGCTTTTGTGAAGCAAATATTAACACGATCCAAAGTATTTTGTTCGTAGGAACGATTCTGCAATGTATGCTATGATGCTGATGATGAAAGCAGAAAGGACAGTTCTTAATGAGGATGAAATGAAAACATCGAAAAATATCGTCAAATATTGTTGAAAATTCGTTATCTATCTTTTCAAATGACAAAGGATGAGCTTAACATCAGTAACGTCAAAGCTTAAAAAAAAACCGCTGTGTTGTGGAAAATGGACGGATCCTACAATTTTTGAAGTGCCAGAAACGAAGTCTTCTCTTTTCCGTATTGTTTAAAAGTTCGTGTTTTTAATTAATCAGTAAAGTGCGAAGAATGTGTGGATTAAGTATTCCTGCACAAACTACTAAGAACGACATATCAACTCGGAATCAGACGGTAGGGTACACAAACAGGTAGATGACGAAGTAGAAACTGCAAATGAAAGAGGAAGTCATACAGAAATGAATAGGCGAGCGTTCAGGTAATCTGTCGGTAGGATGCTGCGTCTGTTGAGCTGAAAGATGACCAACAATCAGTTAATCAAAATCGCATCTGCAGGATACTGACTTTTTTTATTTTCTCAGGGTATGGAGAATGGCCTTTCAAAGCAATGATTGTGTCCTAGTGATGCTGGAAGAACAAGTAGAGCTTGATAGCAATGTTGCGAATGGAGTGATTGGTTTGCTCGCTTTTCAGGCCATGGTGAATGACAGAATTTTTCCCGTACCACAGTGTGTTGACTATTCGCGCAAGATTTTATTTTGCATAACTTAAGAAGTGTTTTTGCCGCATGACAAAGAAACGCAGAGAAGTGCAGGACGTAAAATAGACTTATAGAAGATGAGTTTGTTTTTCATAGAATGCCCCCCGGGGGTCGACGTAGAGAATTCTGCGAAGCTACTGGCTAGGATCTGTACCTAGGCAGTCTCGGCCACGGGGGTATAAAATCACGAGCCTGGCGGTTCCAGAGCCCGGGGTTGGGTCATTTGTATGGCTGGACCCCGGGGGAAAGGCGTAAAGACGTATACCAGATGGTTCTGTAGCTTGGTGTGGGACGGCACCGAGTTTTCTAGGTAATGTCCTGATGGGACGCGCTGCCCGTGTAGTACTGGCGGGAGCATTTAAACGACCGGTCAAGTCCTTCAGGTTTTCAGGTCACGCCTCCGTCGAAAAGCCGAGAACAGGCAATGGTGACCCCTCGGGCCCGACCCAGTAAGCGGAGAATTTTTGGAGTTATTCAGTCTGAGGATAAGATCCGGTGTGGGACCTGGTACTTCAGACATTAAGGATTAGTTTAAAACTCCTAAGTGTTTTTTGTAAAATTGGGCTGAGGCTAAGTTTGGGATTTGTGCCCCACGACTCCAGTCCATTAAGTCGAATTCGTTTTTGTGGCCTACCTGCCACGATCTCCCCCTGCCTGATATGGGGGTTCACAGTAGGTCGGTTCCCTCAGTTGCGTCACTGTTCGCAGGAGAGGTGTAGAAATTTTGATTGATTGATTTTCATAGAATGATAATCGGCTCTTCAGAATAAAGGATGCATGTTACTGAGAATACAGCTGAATTTGTCAGCAACTTTTTTGAAGCGGTATTTCAAGGTACGATGGCATTTAAGATTAACTGCGAGAAAAGTGATGACATTGTTCCATTGGATAATTTGGTTGGAGAGGTAGATATCTTCTGGAAAGGGAGGGGCTATGAATATGGAAGACCTTGAAAAAAGAAAATTTTGTCCTCGTTTTGATCCCTCAAGCACTGAGTGCAGAACAGAAGGTAAATCAATTTTCTACATATTAAGATTTAATCTAAATGGAAGATATTAATCCTTACATTTTTCCAAACAGTCTGGAATTGGAAATGAAATTTAGTACTTTACCTAAAATCCTGAAACAAAAAGACAATCATCTGCTTCATCACTATACAGAAATTTCGGTTTTAGAAATCTCGGGTAAAAAACAGCTTGCCACCTCTTTTGCTTGGAAAAGAATAACTGACAAGGAATTGGATTCTAAGGGAGAGATGATGAATTATATGTTTCATAAAAAAAAACAGTCTATAAGCTTTTGAGGAAAATTTAGGGCATTGATCTGAGAATTTAAGACGCTGCACAGACTGCTTTCTCTTCCCCAACGTGAAGTTTCATACAATTACGAGGATCGTACATCGAAGGCAAAAACGTTAGAACTTTTTTTCCACAGCTTTCAATTTTGTACGAACTCAATCCTAAAATTTTGTAAGTCCACGATGTACGAGGATTGCTCTTCCAATCATTAGCACTATACTAAACATTTTATCTCTTAGTGACTATGTAACTGCAGATGAAACTCTTAATCATAGTTTGATAGAAACCTAGTAGCATGACTTTAGCTTATAAGATATTTCTCCTGCCTTTTTTAGCATTGTTTCATGGTGTAATGGCCAGCACACTCGGCGCGTATTCAAGAGGTTCGAATCCCGACGAGGGCATTGCTTATTTTTCATGTCTCCTGCTACAAAATAACCCAATGACTCTACAAGCTGAAACAATAAAAAGGCGTGGCGTATCTTCAAAGCTTTACGATATTCTTTCTTAGATTGGCTGCGTCTAATTTCTACTTGTAGCAGTTCAAAGATCATTATATATCTCCAAAAATACATAACCTAGTTTGAAAAGCAATTTATTCAACCATCACAAACAATGTAATCTAGAGAATTTGACATCTATTTCTCAAGCTGCTTCAAAACAAATCGAAAGAATATTCTACTTACACTGTTGCCACTTGTCATTTTTTAAATCTGTGTGCTTCTACCACTTTTCGCGTTGCCTTTCAGAAGCAGAGAAAAATATTTTTTCAAAATGGAACATTAGCGATACTTAACATCAAGATGATTTATCGCCCGCTTGCGGTTTATAACATAAAATAAATTATAATACAAAATTGAAGATCTTTTGGTCGTAGGATAGTTACAAGTAATTAATTTGAAATAATTATAAATTATAACTTAGTCAAATATTCATGTGGAAATAAACATTCCTAAGCAATTGAGAATACGCTACTTAAACATTGCACTTGTGTAACTAACACTGAACTTATATGAAATGGACTAATTAGAGCAATGGAACAGGAAATGAATATGAAAGCGTAAAAACTAAAGATTAAGTATTAGGAAAATAATATGACTATCACAACTTGATTTTAAAAGATATTTACAATATTACAAGACAAGCCAATTAGTAACAATATAAATATGCTAATTAGGATAACAACTAGAACTACATTAATTAGCATCTTTATATAATAATTTAATTGTAATTATTAAGTATGATTCTAATGAGCATTTTTATGCAATTTTTACCAATTTTTATTTTGATACTGGATTTTCTGAAATATACTAGTTTTAGACACTTCAATGATAGTTAATAATTATTATATTTTAGTCCAATATACTAGTTTTAGACATTTCAATAATAGTTAATAATTATTATATTAAGTCCGATACTAGTTTTAGACACTTCAATAATAGTTAATAATTATTATATTTTATTAAATTCTCAACTACGAATAATTTTTTTCTCTGTATTCTATTCTGTATTTGAAATTTTATTTACTTTCAAACCTGGATTCCATCCTATAAGTAAAATACCTAAATTTTATTTAAAATGGAAGTAAATACAACTTAACACATACTGTAAATTTTAAATAAGTCATTTAAACATTTTACTCGAAAAAAAATTATAATTGACAAGAAAATCCCATTATTAATTTTGATAATTAATATCTAATCATACCTAATTACCCTTTAAAACTTCTGTTGATTATGAACATAATATTACAAGTATTTTTTGTTAGTATGTTATTTTATAAATTAAACTAAAGATATTCTTTGTTAGAATTTCATATATATATATAAACATTTTTAATTATGCATCCATTCTATGTAATTTTTTGGTGCTTCATTGCTCTATTACCAAGTCATGATTTTCTTATAATTACAGGATTACTATATGGAATTGATGCATACAGATAGCCGCAAAGCACATTTCTTGAAGAGAATAACTGCTCTAGGTGCAGAAAAATGCCGTGAAGAGAATGAAAGTTTTGTAGACTGTGACTTTATAGCAATGGCGGTTGCATTATACCCAGAATGCATCAAGGCTACCATCAAACGCCCGGTCCTTGTCGAATGTGGTGGAAATCATTCGAGAGGTCTTAGTATTTGCCTGAGAGATTTCTATTGTAACGGTTTGGAAAATCGCAAGGTTGAAATAGTTGTAAATCTCGATATTCCTTTTCTGAATCATCTCAGAAGACAAATGCTAAAAGACTGAAGCATACTCTGTCTAGTCATTGCAGTTTTATTATTATCCATTTTATTACTTTTTAAAGTTGATTTATACTATATCATATGCCAGCTATTTAAATATCGTTATATTGCAACTATGTTTTTGTTTCCTTTCTGCTGATTATTTTCACCCAAATATATAAATGTAGGTATACTGTGTATTCAAAAGTCACTGGACACTTTAAACAATTTTTTGTAAAAATTACAGAAATTTTTGATTAATTGTGCTAACTGTATAGTGTCAGTAGTTTTTACTTCGGATCATGTGAATATGAAAATTGGGGTTTGAACTTTGGACTTCGCAATTGCTAGACGGAGATCCTTCTAGTGGTGTCTTCCTGTTTCAGCGGTTGTCAAAAACGATCCTATTTCCGCGACATCATCATTCTTCATTATCCCCTTTCCAAAAGGGGTTACATAGTGGGGGGAGGCTGACTGGACATCGGCCTCTCTCGAAATGTAGTAAAACAAAATATTTGTATATTTAAAACAAAATAATTTCTAAAAGAAATAATCGAAAAATATTTACGATCTCAGATATTTGCATGAATGCAGCTCATACTGTATTTAAAAAGAAAGAGAGAGATGTTCAAACTCTGCGATGATTTTGGCAATGAACTAAAAGGTAATTTCCAAAAGTAAAAAAAATAATATTCTAAAAATAATATATTAATTCAGATGGTGTCATAATAAAATCTTTTAGAATAAATATTCGTTCTGAAATGAAATTCTAAAATGACGTTCTTTCTTCTAAAAGGACTTTTGCTTTGGTCTTAATTGCTTCTTTACAGCTTTTCATTTTTTCATTTATGCAAATCCAATAAACTACATTTTCTTTATTTCTATTCAGAATTCGATATTAATAACCCTTATAAAGTGCTAAAGGGTTTTTATCCCCTCTTGTTAGTTTCAATAATGTCTAAAACATCCTTATTGATTTCAAGATGGGGAAAATAACAGATAATATTATAGCAGAATTACAAATAGAATGAAATTAAGGTTTTCGAGAGGAGCCTAAACTAAAGACCCGTTTTCAATCTAAAGAAGACTAAACTTATTCACAAAGAAACTGCCCAGCTCTTCTTAACCCCTTGGGTACATTTGACGTCTGAGACACGTCATTCACATTTTTCCCCCTAGGAGCGGTTGAAGTGTCTAAGACGTCAAACCAAAAATTAAACTCTTGGGTACATTTGACGTCTGAGAGACGACATTCACTTGTTTTCCCTAGGAGCGGATGACATGTCTAAAACGTTATTGAGGTTTATGCACAATTCTGTTCATTTCATTGTAGCTTGTATCAATCATAATAGAAGAGGCAATTACAGTTTTCGGTGAACATTATTTGCGATACATCCCCATTATGTCAAAAACAAGGAATATATTGTATGATAGTGATAGCGAAAGTGACTTTGAGAAATCTAAAGAAGAATTGTTTAGTGATCCTGAAATTGACAATTACAATGAAATGCAAAGCGAAGGTGATGAAGACGATATTGAACTAGAAAATGCTGACAATTGTAATATAATATAAAGGTTTCGAAGACGCACAAGACGTCTATCGAGCAGTGATAGTGAATCTTCTCGTGAACCAGTATCAGAGGAATGGATTTGGGAAGAAGAAGAAAATGTAGCCGACATAAAAAGTTTTTCTGAAATATCTGGAATTAATCCTTTGAGCCTGCGTAGACTAGGTAGTAATCCTACGCCTTTAGATGTTTTGAAATAAGTCTTGAATGAAAATTTTTGGGACGCTATAGTAGAAGAGACAAATAGATATGCCAGACAAGGGATAGAAAAAAAAAGGTTGTGTTAAAAAAAAAAAAAAAAAAAAAAATCTGAAATGTTCCGATACAGAGACTCACGCGCTGGAGATAAAAATGTTTTTTTTTTTTTTCGTTCAACGTTGCCATTGCTCAGCTTTGAAATCATTTGAGTGTTGTTAATCAAAAATTCGTCAAAGTTTTACAAAATCTGAAATCTATAATAAAACAAATTTCAAATTTCTAATTTAGGGTCTTTCCACATGCCTCATATTCTATGGAAAGGATTATGTTATTCAAATTTTCGATGGACTCAAGGTACCGTTATTTTATCACACTTACGAGAAAATATGCATACATTTATGCAGATTTTTCATTATTTAATTTCTTCAAATATAATGCAGGACTCTAACATTTTGTGGCAACAGTTTGAAAAGTGAACCGACATTTATGAGTCCGACGCAAAATGCCAAAACGAAACTAATAGTCCTTCGGGATTCAAATCCCTTTGGACTAAAAAGATGCTTTCCTGTAAGTTCTGATGAAATGAAAGCTTATATTGCATTATGCATCTTGATGTCGCACATGAAGAAGCCAAAAATGCATATGTATTGGTCAAAACGATATGCAATAAGTACTCCAATTTTTGCCAGCACTATGGCACGCGATAGGCTTTTGATATTTCAAGCTTTCTACATTTAACGGATAATGAAGAGGTAAATAAAGATGACAGAATAAGAAAAATTAGAAATATAAGTGGATTACCTAAATACTAAATTTTGTTACATTAATACTCCTAAAGTGAAGTAGCTATTGATGAATCGCAACCAAAAATTATATCCGTTCCACATGCAAAAAGTTTTCTCCAATAAATCTGTATCCAGAGGTTAATGAACTCATCGTGGCATTTCCTGAGGAGCCGTGGGAGGGGGACTGTACCAAAGGATATGTATTGCACATAGACGTTCTTTGACTGCACTGTCCGATTTCTCGGGAACAGCAAGAATTTCGAAAAATGCGAAAAGGGGAATCGCAGAAACTACCTTCCAGTTACACCAATAATGCAGGAAGAAGAAGGAAGAAGGAAAGAAAGGCGATAAGGTAGGAAGAAGAGAGAATAAATAAAGATGAAGGAAAGAAAGGCGATAAGGTAGGAAGAAGAGAGAATAAATAAAGATGGAGGAAAGAACAAGGAGATTCCTAACACTCCCCCCTCCCACACACACACAAACTTAAAAGGCGATTGAGAAGGAGAGGACCCAGTCGCCAAATGCAGATGGTGACGAATTATCATCTACAACAGTAGTCTTTAAACTTTGTCACCTCACGGAACCGTTAGAATTATAAGGGGGGGGACTCCATTCCACCCTTAGACCAAAATATATCTTAATTTAATACTTAAAGTAGATCAATATGTTATAGCTACTTTAGGTAAAGAAAGTTAAAGAAAAAAATCTGCATTTTTTATTAAAAAATTTTGCAATACAATTAATGTAGTTTATTCATTATTAATATTAACTCCTGCTAAACGTGTCATCTAGACTTGTATTATTTTAGCGACAGAAACGTGCTTGCTCTTTCTTAACCCAAATGGGTAATTTGCCCAGAAGGGCTATTAATTTCGTTTTGGCATTTTGCGTTGATTCTCTATAAACGGCGAATCACTTTTTAAATTGTTGTCACCAAATATTAGAACTATATTTAAAGAAATTAAATAATGAAGAATTTCTTCCTTGTACGAAGTAAAAAAAGAAATGTAATTGCGAAAAATTCCAGGTAACATATTTGAATGAAAATATCCATTTTGACCGCTATCGAATGCAATTTAACAGTGTTTTTGCGTGACATCTGTACGGAAATGCGTTTTGTTAATTTGCATGCAATAGTTGTAGAATTATCAACAATTTAAAAGTTGTTTAACTGCGGCTAAGCCTAATTTGTTTTTACCGTAGCAGCCATATTTGTTTACAGTTGAAGCTTAGCAGAATAGTAGAGTAAGTCAGTTTGTTCACCTCCGGTGTCTTTTTGTCGAGTGGGACCAAAAGAAAACTTTTAGCTTTGTGCATCGAAAAATCAGCCTTCTTGCCTGATGGCCGACTTGTTTGTTTTTGCTTAGAAACTGTAATTTTAACTATAAAAATTGTTTTAAAAAATTTTTAACTGTAGTTGGTGTTTTATGTTTTCTATATTTTTCAATTCTTAATGAAGATATTTTGAGTTTTTATGTATTTTTACTTTGCCGCGAAGAGAGAACTGAATTAATCGAACAAGAAATACTTGTATATCTCTTGTGAAATTCGAGGGAATAAGTTTAAATGAAATGTAAACTTTTTAGGAAATGTAGGATGTATATCAATCTAACGTGTAATGAAATGTAAGGAAAAATGCCTATAATTTAATATTCCATACAAGGAAGTCATGTAGTGTACACATTGGATTTTTTTTAATTAAGAAAGGGGCTCTATAATATAATTTTTAACACCGTCATCAAAATTCAATTCATTTTCTATTAGACAACGCTTTAGGTTTGCAAAGTATTGCACATAATTCTTAACAAATCTATAACTAAATATGTCTTTATATCTTTTAGTTAGCAAAACACTATTGAATTATTGTGCTTGCTTTATAATTTTCTTCTTGAACTATTACTTTGTCTCATGAAATCTTAGGGTTTCATTTATGGAACCCCAGGGTTGAACACAATTTGAAGACCACTGATCTACAATATTTAGTTTAATTGCCACTATAAAATCATTTATAATTTTTTAAGAAGTCTGGAAACGTGAAGAATTAGAGCTGCCTTCAACGAAATTCGAGCTCCGGAACTCTCTATTGCAGATACAATCGAATAACACCACGAAGGCACGTAGTAAGAAGGGAGAATGTACATTAAAATACCTTGTAATTGGGTCATGTAAATTACACGCTTGAAATCACATTTCCCTGTGAAAATGCAGTTAGTCACGAATGCGTTTCAGGTTCCAAGAGTAAAATGCTGAAGTAAAAGGATATTATTGCTTACCTGTATTTTGAAAATCAAGAAATAATCAGTAACTTTCACACATTCATTTCATTTTTCATTTCTTCTGGAGCAATATTAATATGCATTTTCGTAACGATAACATACATTGTAACATAACATGCATCTAAGAAGATATAGTAAAGTTTTTTTTTTTATTTATTTTTTTAATTCCAATTTTCTTCGCATGATTTTTTAAATACGTAGATGTTTCAAACAAATTTAGTGAAATTTACGAAAAATCTGACAGCACTCAAACGAAATACAGTAGAACTCCAATTATCTGAATCAAATGGGACCGGACTCCATTCGAATA